GGCAGTGAATCCCATGTGTTAATCACTCTTTGGGTGAAGAAGGACTTCCTTTTATCTGTTCTAACCCGACTGCTCAGCAATTCCATGGAGTGCCCACAAGGAGTTCTTGTATGGTGAGTTCTTGCATTGAGTTCTTTTCAAGGCAGAAGTCTGCTGAGGGACAGCAAAGTCTCTAGCCGCTGTGTCCACAGGGGCGGCAGCTGGTTCAGGCACTAAAGATTTCTCCCTCCCAGGGCACGAGAGGTGACCGCCACCTAAACTCCTCCTGGACATCCGGGGGGGGAGGGCGGCGGCGGTTCTGGGAGCATCTCGGAAGCTGCTGCCTGGGGTGGTTCCAGGACCTCTGCCGCCACCACCTCCTCCTCTTCTGAACGCCCAGCTTCCACCCCGCCAGGAGGAGCCGGCGCTGCGGCCCACAGCACAGCCAGAGAACCAACGTGGCCCTGCTGACAAAGTGTCCCGGAGTTGGGCCCAGACACTTCTAATCCCGGTTCAGATTCTAAGAGAAGCCACTCTCTCCTCTCCTGGATCCATAGGTGGACCCTGGCCACGATTCACCTAAGGGAACGGCCCTGCTGTGAGGCAGCCAACCTCTCTGAAGCCCAGGGCTCGTAGGCAAAACCGCAGGAAGGGCCTCGGCCTCTCTACGCCTGGTTCTCTGCCCCTCCGGGATAAGCGGCCGGCCCCTGTGCGAGACGGGCAGGAGGACTAGAGGGGGACGGCTGGTGGGATCCAGCAGGGCCCCTCCAAAGGACTCAGAGGCCAACTGCCCTCTGCACAAGGTGACACCACCCTGCCTCTCCACTGAGATGGCAAAGGGGTCGTCAGGGGGAGAAAGCCTGCCCCCCCCGCTGCCACCACCACCACCACCATGGAACACCACGTGGCCCCTGTTGTTTCAAAAGCAGGACTCTCGGGGGGGGGCTTCAGTCAGGGGAGGCTACAGCCAGCTCCCCCACCCCTCCCCGTTCTCTCAACCCAGGGAGCAGCTTGGGGGGGGGGAGAAATCGCCCACCTCTGCACTCACCCACCTCTGAGAGCCAGTTAGGTGTCATGGTTAAGTGCGCGGACTCTAATGTGGGAGAACCGGGTTTGATTCCCCACTCCTCCTCCACTTGCACCTGGCTGGATGGCCTTGGGCAAGCCGTAGTTCTGACAAGAGCTGTCCTTGAAAAAGAGCAGTTTCTGTCAAGAGCTCTCTCAGCCCCACCTGCCTCCCAGGGTGCCTGTTGTGGGGAGGGGAAGGGAAAGGAGTTTGTAAGCCACTCTGAGACTCCTCTGGGTAGTGAAGGGCCATGGGATATAAATCCAATCTCTTCTTTTACCTCGCAGGGTGTCTGTTGTGGGGAGGGGAAGGGGAAAGGAGTTTGTCAGCCACTCTGAGACACCTTCAGGTAGTGAAGGGCCATGGGGCATAAACCCAATCTCCTCTTCTTCTTCTTCTTCTTCACCATGTCCCAGCATGGGAGAGACACAGCCTTGGAGCCCACCAGGCTGAGGGAGGGAGAGACGGAGGTGGCTCACAACAAGACAAACAGGAACCTGAGACCGCCCGAGGACGGCTCTCTCCCCTGCCCATGGCTTCCGTCTTACCCAAGTTCTCTGGCCAGGGGCGGGCGGGCGGGCACGGGACTCCTTCCGAGCCACAGCAGACTCCCTGCGCATTCAAAACCTCTGGTTCGCACT